ATATATATATATATATATATATATATATATATATTCCAAACAAATCTTTGTCAATTCTGCCCAACCGTAGTAGAGGACATATACCACATAATCTTCTCATGCAAAAAGTCCTAGCACTTATCGACATTGTTCAATCCACAAAGACCTCAACTACACAACTTTGGCTACTTGATAAAGGATGCATGTCACAAAGACATTGTCATCCACACAACAAATGCCTCATTAAAAACTCTGAACTCTGCTACCTTACTGTCGTTCACCTTTTTCCAACATTTGGATTAATAGGAACTCAAACCTCTTCAACCACACTTCGTCCATCACACGCCAAAAAAAATTACGATACAAATGGCTGAATTCATTTCACTCGCCCAGATTAATGTGCCATCAAAACCTAGGCTTCACATACCAATAAGATGGCTCCCACCTACTAACCAGTACAAGCTAAACATTGATGGAGCTTATGACAAAAACAATCAAACAAATGGCACTGGTGGACTCATCAGAGACCACCATGGCAATTGGATAGCGGGGTTTGCGCAGAAGGCATTTGCAACATCTGCTCTTCATGCTGAAATACTCGCATTAATAGCAAGACTAGAGCTCTCCTTCACAAAAATATCTTTCCCACTATAGTGAAAACAGATTCACAGGTATTATGTAACTTATTTTAAGACGAACACACATGCTACTCACATCTTCTTTATGATTGCAGTTTTCTTCTTGATGTTGCTGGCATGGAAGAAATAACCCATATATATCGGGAAGGCAACTCTGTAGCTGATGCTCTGGCAAAGTATGGAAGAACCAAGCAACAGACAATAACGGAGGGAGAAAACACTATATACTGGGAAACACCTGTAGATTTTATTTTACAAATTTTTATTAAAGACAAATTGAGAAAAATCACTATGCGGTCTATCCCTATGTTATGTAATAACTAAACTTCTATGATCTAATATAAAGTCTCTTCTTTCATTAGTAAAAAAAAAAGGTCTCTTAATAATGCAATAATCAATCCTCTTTCACAAGGGATTTTCAGAAAAGGCAAACCTATGGAATGCTCCCAAGCAAATAATTCATAGAAATGACCAATCAATTTCGCAGTCAAAATTTCGTTGATATTGCCTCTTTCAATTTTAGTGAATATGTCAAAAAAAGAGGAATATTCTTTTGCATAAATATTTTCTGATAATATCCCTTCCAAGCTGATTCCTAATCTCATTTCAACAGATTTCATGAATAAAATATTTTTTATTCATTTTCAACCGTTGTAAAAAATTGTATATAAGTATCCTTAAAAATGACAACAATTTCTTTAACTAAAAGGGGTGCCTGTATCTACAAGATTTCTTAAAAGAAATTAAACTAGGCTTCAAATAGTTTTCTTTTTCTTAAAATTAATCTATATAATTTTATGAAATAATAAGTGAGACTATATTTTAAATGTTTTCCGCTTAAGAACAATCAGTTCACTAAAAAAATAATTCCAAATAATTCTGTACAACGACAAACCAATTGGTTGACCACATGCCAAAATTTTTCATGTATATGTTGTGATTTGAATTTATTGTCTCTTCATTTAAATCACTCAAATTACTTCTTGGTTCCATATTTTTTTCTCTTCTTTTTGTTTCTGATTTCTGAAAACTGGATGAAATAAAGCAGCTGCAAAGACTCTTTTCTTGAATTCACTATGCATCACTTTCCCCAAGCAAATCGTCACTTCATTTTTTACTGTTACCATACTAACCACATGTGGCTTTCGAACCTTGCAAATTGATAGCAGCGTGTGAAATGAAGCATAAAAGAGAAAGGAGTAGTACTTTTAGTAAAGTACTCAAGTAAAGTGGAATTGGTAGACTAGATGGTAGATTAGTGGGAAAATTAGGTGACATAACAAATATTTATACTGTATTTATAATTTATATTTAATATTTTTAGTAAATTTAAATTTGTAGATGTATTTAAATTTTATAACAAATTTATGAAAGATTAATTATTTTGAACTGAAATAAAAGAGCAACAAGCTCTTGTAGCTCAATTAGTTAGAGTTCACTCTCAACAAGATTTTTTTTTTTTAAGATTGTATTCGTTGCACAAATGAATATTAATATTTGCACGAACGAATAGATTATATACTTACTTCACTCGTTCCTCAGTGCACCACTTCGGGCTTTGTTGCTTTTTCCCATACTTTATTCCATTAATTTTGATGAACTACTACCGAATTAACACAATTAATTACTACATAGTAACTGTGTTAATTCGGTAGTAGTTCATCAAAATTAATGGAATTTAAGAGGAATAAAGTATGGGAAAAAGCAATGAATAACTGTGTTAATTCGGTAGTAGTTCATCAAAATTAATGGAATTTAAGAGGAATAAAGTAGGGGAAAAAGCAACAAAACCCGAAGTGGTGCACTGAGGAATGAGTGAATGCCCCTCTCGTTAGAAAAGGGGAAAAAGACCACTGGAAAACTATCCAAGCCTTAGCCTTTCTGCAGCCATGGCTTCCGACCGAATTAGTCAGTTGCCGGAACCCCTTCTACTTCAGATTCTCACTCTTCTGCCAACTAAGGATGAATTCACAATATGTGTGTAATGAACTCAATGGAAGTAAGGAAATAAACAACAATAGCAGAAGTAAGGAAATAAACAACAATAGCAGAAATCGAATGATTTTTGGGGCAATTTTCTATTTATATTAATAAGAGAAAAACGATTACAATTCTGGATGAAAACTAACGACTCTCTAACTAGACTCCATGGCTGCAAATTCCTGAAGAAGAGAAGAGAAGAAGAAGGAAACTGTTAGGAAGAAGAAAGAGAGAGAGAAGAGAGAAGGAGAAAGAAATCGGACCCTGTTGAACGATGCCTTAGAGTTCATTAATGCCTAATCTAATCCTAGCCGTTAATTCAAATTTCTGTTATTCCCTTTCCCATTTTCTGTTATTGCCTACTCTCATTTGCCATTTCGAATCCCAGCTGTTGCTTCTTCTTAATAGGTCATGACTTACTCTCCCCCTTCGAACAATCCCTATCCTCAAGTATTGGAATCAAATTCTGGAAACCTTGCCTTGATGTAGTGATAGTCTTCCCAAGTGGCATCTTCTGGAGGAAAATTTGACCACTGCACCAGTACCCTTACCACGGCAAAGTTGTTCCTCTTAATAAGCCGCCTCTGCAGAATTGCCACTGGTTTCACCAGGAACTTACCATCCTCGCTAGTGATTAGTAGTGTGGTCTCCACTACTACTCTATCTCCTACCTTCTTCTTGAGCAAAGATACATGAAACACAGAGTGGACCTTAGATTCAGGAGGAAGATACAGTTTGTAAGCCACTTTTCCAATTCTTGCCAGGACCTTGTAGGGCCCATAGTACTTAGAGCTCAACTTCAAGTTTCTTCTCAATGCTAGAATTCTTTGTCTATAGGGTTGCAATTTCAAATAGACCAAATACCCAACTTAAAACTCCCTATCTATTCTTCTTTTGTCAGCATAGTATTTCATCCTCTCTTGTGTTTTAGTGAGGTTGTCCTTTAATAGCTGTTGCATCTGTTGTCTATGCATCATTGTATCTTCAGCAACTGGTACCACAGTTTTCAATAAGGGGCCCAATGACAACTGTGGGGGTGAGTATCAGTATACTGCTTTAAGGGGGTGCACTGTAAACTGGTGTGGAAATTGGTGTTATACCACCATTCTGTAGCAGTCAGCCATTGTTTCCACTATGTTGGCCTATTAGCAGTCATACATCTAAGATAGTTCTCCAGACACCTATTGACCATTTCAGTTTGGCCATCACTCTGAGGGTGATAGGCAGTGCTATAATGAAGCTGCGTCCCCAGGAGTTTAAATAATGCTTGCCAAAAGTGGCTTAGGAACACATTGTCTCTGTCTATCACTACAGACTCTGAAATACCATGTAAGCGATGTATTTTCTTCCAAAACACCTCAGCTACAGATACTGCCGTGTAAGGGTGAGCAAGTGTTATGAAGTGTGCATACTTTGTTAATCTATCAACCACTACAAGGATCACTTCTTTGTTCTTGGATCTGGGTAACCCTTCTATGAAGTCCATACTGATGTGGCTCCAAGCCTGGTTAGGGATGGGTAGAGGCTGCAGCAACCCAGGGTAGGCCATGTGATCATCTTTTCTTTTGAGGCAAACATCACAACTAGCCACATGATCAATAACTATCTGTTTTATCCTAGGCCAATAAAATATTTGTGATAGTCTTATGAGAGTTCCAAGCTACCATGAGTGTCCACCTACAGGAGAATCATGAAAGGTGGATATCAACTGAGTTCTAAGTCCACCATTGGTACCAATATAAATTTTCCCTTTCTTCCTGAGTATGCTAGCAGTGTAGTGCCATATGCGGGGTCCTTGCTGAGTCACATCCATTTGGCTAATGATTTTTGTAGCTTTATGGTCCCTTCATATCTGTGTGTTATTTCTTGCAACCATGCAGGAACTGATATACTGATGGCCTGCAATGCTCCTTGGAGTTGGTTCTTTTGAACTTCTGAATCTTCCTGCTGTCTAGAAAGGGCATCAGCTACCCTATTTTCAGCTCCCTTCTTATACTGCACCTCATAGTCCAACCCAAGCAATTTGGTCAGACCCTTTTCCTGTATAGCAGTAGTCACCCTTTGTTCTAGGAGATATTACAAGCTGTGATGGTCAGTTCTCACCACAAAATGTTTGTACTGTAAATAATGTCTCCACTTTTCCACTGCATTCAGCAGAGCCATATACTCCTTTTCATAGATGGATTTACCTTTGTGTCTTGGAGCCAAGACCTTGCTAAAGTAAGCTATTGGTCTACCTTCCTGCATCAGTACAACCCCAATGCCCATTTGGCTAGCATCAGTCTCTACTGCGAATTCTTTGGTGTAGTCAGGTAATGCCAACACAGGTGTAGAAGTCATAGCCTTCTTCAATTTTTCAAAGGTTAAGTCTACTTCCTCATTCCACTTAAAGCTTCCTTTTTTAATAAGTCAGTCAAAGGTCTACAAGTGATGCCATAGTTGGCAACATACTTCCTATAATACCTAGTCAGTCCCAAAAATCCCCTCAAAGCTCTTATGGAGTTGAGCTTAGGTCACTCAACCATGGCCTTTATTTTGGAGGGATTTGTTGATACTCCTTCTACAGTTATAATATGCCCCAAATATTCAACTTTGAACTTACCAAAAGAACACTTAGACCTTTTAGCAAATAAGGAGTGTTTCCTTAGAGTATCAAAAACTGCACTTAAATGAGTTACATGCTCCCTCTCAGATAAGATGTATATAAGTATGACATCAAAGAAAACTAACACAAATTTTCGAAGGAAAGGTTGAAAAACCTGGTTCATCAAGGCTTGGAAGGTGGCTGGGGCATTTGTTAGCCCAAATGGCATTACCTTGAACTCGTAGTAGCCCATGTGTGTTTTGAATGCTGTCTTGTACACATCCTCCACCTTCATTCTAATCTGATGGTAACCAGCCCTCAAATCTACTTTGGAAAACATCGCAGACCCACTAAGATCATCTAATAGATCATCCACAATGGGTATTGGGTAATCCTTTATTGTAATGTCATTCAGTCCCTTATAGTCTACATAGAACCTCCAAGTCCCATCTTTCTTCTTGATAAGTAACGCTGGTGAAGAGAAGGGTGATTGACTATGCTATATGATGCCATTAGTGAGAATCTCCTTGACATGTATTTCTAATTCCTCCTTCTGGTAATAGTTGTATCTATAGGGCCTCAAATTGACTGGCATAGCCCCTAATTTCAAGGGTATGGTGTGGTCTAAGGTCCTGACAGGGGCAAGGCCTTAGGCTCAGCAAATACATCTGAGTATTGTTGTAGTACCTCCTCAATAGCCTTTCCAATTGGGTCTTGCTCTTCTGCCTTTACAACACTCATCATGAACAGGTGACCTATTAGAGCCTGACCTTTCCTTAGCATTTTTCCCACTGTTCCACTGGTGATCAGATTCAACTTCCCTTCCTCAGTAATGCCTTGCAATATTAGCTTGTTGCCCTTCTTACCAATGGTAACACACATCTTCTCATGGTCGAATTTGGTTGGATTATGCTTCTTCATCCAGTCATTTCCCATCACCATGTCACAACCCCCATGTGGAATAATCAGTAAGTTCTCTTGGAAGGGCCTGCCTTGCATTTTTTATTGATAGCTCGTGCAAATCGAAGTGCACATAACATAGTTTCCATCAGCTACTGTCACTCTCACTGGTGGGCAGGGTTGGGCTTCGTACCCTGACTCCTTAATTGTGGTGGCATTAATGAAATTGTGAGTACTCCCAGAATCAATTAACACTGTTAGTTTTCTGTTCCCTATGGTACCTCACACCAGTATGGTATTGACCCCTTTGTTATCACCGGATAGGGCATTCAAACATACTGCCTCTATGATTTCTTGTTCCACTTCTCCTTCAATGATCAACCCTGCAGAGCTTTGTTCTTCCTCTATCTCACCAGTTTCAGTAGGAACCTTTGTGTCCCTATCATGCTATTCAGTTGCTTCTTCTTGCATTGATGTCCTTGAGTATATTTCTCACCACATTTGTAACACAAAATGGTTACTCTTCCTATACTCATATACTTTAGGATTAAGCCTGAATGAATTTGGCTTAACTGCAGTTGCAGTAGGTGCTTTGGTACTACTAGGATTGCCAGTTATTAGAGAGACTTTGGTTACTACTTTAGTACGCTTGAGAGCAGCTTCTATGGCCTTCTCCTGCAACCTAGCTTGTTCCACAGCAAATCGTAGAGTTGTAGGTTTGAATAGCTTCACCCCAAACCTAATCTCTTCCTTCAGAGCCCCAATGAAACTGGATATGAATTGTGACTCATCCAAGTTAGGATTCCTTATCAGCATTTGGGCCTTCAAGTCCTCAAACTTACCCAAAAATTCATCCACTGTCCCAGTTTGGCTTAACTTGTTGAATTCCTCTACTATGTCTCCCATTAATTCCTTCCCAAATCGAATCAACAATTCTTCTTTGAATTCAATCTAGCTTACTTCACCTTTACTTAGTACTAAGGAGTCGTACCAAATATCTGCCAATGCATTCAAATAGAGAGCAGTTGCTTCCACCTTTAAGTTATCAAGAGTTCTATACAAATTGAAGTACCTCTCACACTTTCTTATCCACCCTTTAGGCTCATGACCTTCAAAGTAAGGTAGCTCCCACTTAGGCGCATGAGCTTGTACTGTTGGAGGTCGATGCTGCCTTATTTCCTGACCTGCTATAGGCAGTAGACCATCACCTTGAGGTCTCTCCCCTTGTGCTCTTTGTGGAACCCTTTCTAGATTAGTCAGTCACTCTAGGATCAGTTCCAGTATGCCCTGTATTCCATTTTGAGTGCTGCGAAGTTCCTCTTGAGTGGTCATAACCTCATTCTGAACCTCCTCGTGTCTAACTAGTTTATCATCCATAACTTTCAGCCTAGTTCCTTCAACTATCACCTCCTTCACAGTCGCAAAATCGAGGCTCTGATACCAAGTGTAATGAACTCAATGGAAGTAGGGAAATAAACAACAATAGCAGAAATCGAATGATTTTTTTGGGGTAGTTTTCTGTTTATATTTATAAGAGAAAAACGATTACAATTCTGTATGAAAACTAACTACTCTCTAACTAGACTCCATGACTGCAGATTCCTGAAGAAGAGAAGAGAAGAAGAAGGAAACTGTTAGGAATAAGAAAGAGAGAGAGAGAAGAGAGAAAGAGAAAGAAATTGAAGAGAGAGAGAGAAGGGAAATACTCTGATGAACGATGCCTTCCCCATTCTGTTGAAGTTGGTTATAACAACCCTTCAGTTGACGTGGCCAAATCGTAGCCCTTGGCGTTCATTAATGCTTAATCTAATCCTAGCCGTTCATTCAAATTTCTATTACTCCCTTTACCATTTTCTGTTATTGCCTACTCCCATTTGCCATTTCGAATTCCAGCTGCTGCTTCTTCTTAATAGGTCATGACAATGTGTTCTCTCAAAAAGGTGGCAATATCTATGGACTTCAGTTAATCACTTCATTTTCAGGTGTGAAAAGGAATCGCAAGCCGAAAACTTCATTTCCTTTGTGGATTATGCATTAGATCATTCCACTTGTTCCAAAATAAAAAAATTACAACTGGATTTCACTTACCTGTGTGAATACGAGTCTGCAATTAGCCGATGGCTTGGCACCGCTGTTGATAAAAAAGTCGAAGATGTTGTGTTGTGGCCAGGTTGTAGTGAGGAAGATAACATCGATTTGCCTCAGTCTATTTGCATTAATTTGCTCCTCGTTGATAACATTGGATCTGAGCTGCTGTTATTTCGATAAAGGCTTGATCATAGACTGGAAGTCCTTAAAGAGCCTAAAGTTGAAATATATTATGATATATGATGATGATATTGTGAACTTACTATCAGGTTGTCCTGTTTTGGAAACTCTAGAATTTTCTTGATTTGAGGGGTTTCGTCGTCTGGAAATTAATTCTTCAAACTTAAAGAAACTTAAGTTCGAAGAATATTGGTTGCCAAATGACAGCGATGATCATTCTCTGGAAATTGTTGCCCCGTATATCCAGCATTTGGAGATCTCCGAAGATATGCATGATCTCAAGTGTAGGCTAGTTAATGTATCATCCGTGGTCAGTGCTAAGCTTACATTCCGAACTTGTTGTACTAGTTTTGCTCGATTTATGTCTCGTGAAACTTTTCCTGTTGAGCATGAGCTTATTATGACACTCGTCCAAGATTAACTTCAAAAGTTGAGTTATGCAACTGAGTTAACAATCCGAACTTAGTTCACAGAGGTTTGTATTACGTTAAAATGACCTTATGTCCTTTCTTTTAGCATATAGATGTCATAAAGAGATAGCATCTTGAATATGATACAATTGAGAAATTTTGTACATTTATTCCGATAACCGAGAATCCCGGACCAAGCTTTTGCCCAAAAACTTTTACACATTTTATGATATGATCTCGGGTAGTGTGGAGGATGTTTCTGAAGATCTCGTGAAGTCAGTCAGTTGCTCCTTTTACTCGTCCAGAGACCAAATGAACATGTAAGACAAGTTTTGCAGCAAAAAAAATATGAGAGAAGAGCAAGGAAAGAAGTTGCCCAAATTGAGA